GGTGAATTTTGTCTAGTGACGAATGGTTTTTGTAATGTCCTGGAATTGATCTGCCTTTATTAGATTCCTTCAAAGGTCACAGAGATTCTGAAAAAAGAAAGCAACGTTTAGTTAGGTTAGGTTAGGTTGATTATTCTAAACAACTACTAAAACAACACATTACCTGTAAACAATACAATTCTCCTTTTTGTCACTAACAACTGTCATACAAAATAAATACCATTGTACTACATTGCATTCAAAATAATAGAACGCGACAAAAATCATATAAAAACGTGTGGTTGATCGGGCTTATCGCGTCAATCTCGCCAAACACCATCTTTCGATGTCCATCTCGAATGACTTTCTATTGGAAAGAATTAATCACGTGGCAATATCCTACCAGAAATGTATTTAAACTGTTAGCAATTCTTATAGAAATAAAATACTCTCGTGCTTAAAAAAATTATTATAAGGACGCCTTATTGGAATAAATAGAGACGCAACACAAAAATAATAAGGCTATGCCAGTTTATTTTGAACGTGGTTCTTTTAAAACATATAGGGTTATAATTACTTTAAAAGGACTAAATATTAGATATCCGATAAATAGTATTCACTTTATTTCGAATGCTTTAATTTTTATTTTGTATAGAAAACAATATTATATTATCAGCAATCGTTTATGAAACAAATAATTAGGTAAATCGAATTCCATAGAACGAGTTAATTATTTTAACGTGATTTATTGTGCATTTTACAATGCATTTTTTTTCTGAGTGTGGGTCATCTCTAAGTGGGTAGTGGGAGGGAGGTTCATACAGGGGGTTGCTTAGTAAACAGCGCAGCGTCTGGATTTAAGTCTACTTGGGCCGTACTCTTGGCCAAAAATTGAGTGACGAACATCAAAGGTTTGTTTTAGTTTCTCAGTGTGTTCATGAGCTTTCCGGCGTAAATCGGGGATTGTAAAATCTGCGATAAACTTTGACAAATAACAAAATGTATTTGAGACGATTTTATAGAGGTTAGTTCTCCATCTCCGATATCAGTCGTACCCAAGTGTATGGCACCAAAGTATGGCACGAATGGTTGTCGTCTCGGCGTACTCAGTGATGAAGAGTTCCAGGTGTTTCTCCATTTTTTCCCTCATTTCCCCGTTGCGAAGAAAATTCACATTTGTCAATTGATTTATACTTATTTGGAAATTATTTGGAATTGCAGCCTTAATCTATCAAATTGTCATCTTTCGTATTGGGTATGTTTCATATGATTTTATAAAAACATCCAAATTAAACTATTTAGTTAGATTCAAATTTGTTTGAGAGTCAGAAAATTATTTCTCATTAGAAATATCCTACATCACAACTTGACAACTATCCTACTTTCATTCAACTCCACCCAACGAATAACAAAATATAATTACAAGTACAATCACTTTAAAAGAATGTTTTAACTATATATGATCTAATCTAACTGAAACTGTTTATGTATGTCGTGTTTCCACGTTTCTATGAAATTTAACAGTAAATGTTTTAAATTCACCGTCACCCTATGAAAGGGCTGATTACTCACCCTTGACGTAATAACGTTATTTTTACCGGAATGATTCATAACTCGAACGGATAATAACTTCCAAGGGTTAATAAAAGTATTCGCCTAGCGTGTGGCACCAATAATGATGACGGTTATAAATTTTTAGAAATAGTTTGTTTTTAGAGAAATTTACAACTCTATTTTTAAAAATATCACTTCGATGTATGTGACACAACACAAAATTGGGAAGTTTTCGAAAAAAAAATCAATATAAGCTTATTTGTGTAAGTATAAGAAACATTTTATTCCTTGCTTTATTTTCACGGTCATTGCCTTGAATTTATTTTTGAATACCCGATTTAAATAAAAAAAATTCTAAATTAATCACACAGCATAAGCGCAGCGCTGCCAAATTTAGATGTTTTGCAGGGTAAATAAAAAATAAGACACTTTTATTTTATGTGTTGTTTTGGTAAATTAATTTTATGATTATGATGATATAAATAAATATTTTCGGTTATTCTATTAGCTTAGCAAATTTGTATCCAGATGGTTGCATTGAGTTCTTAATAACTGTGTATTTTTTTACTGTAAAAAGCTACGTTGACACGGGTAGTGAAGCACGATCGTGGTCCACACTTTCGTGGACCACGCCTCATGTCAACAGTAGATTCGTGAAAGAAGAATCGAAACGAATGAATACGAAAGACGCCACGATCGTGAATAAGCAAATGAAACGTGTTAGATATTTCACGAATCAAATCGATAGTAAATGAGAAGTCGCAGAGAAAGTTGAGGTAAAAAAGGCATTTTAGAAACATTAGAAAATATTGATTGACTTCCGATCATAATCTTTGTTGCAAAAAAAAGTTCGAATGTTTAATTGTTACATTTTTTTTAAATATATTTTAGTATATGATTATAAAAATTAACTTCATGTGCATAACAAAACCATAATTAAAATAAATATAAATTGAATTTTTATATACAGTAATGACACTCGCAAGTAAATTAGAAATATGTCTGATCAAAAGACGTAAAATAGTAAATATTGGCAAACTCTGTGACTCTGTGAATAGATATTGACATGAATGCCACAATTAATTACTTTCACTCGTCTTTTAATGTCGTAATATTTGGCACATTAGTGTACAATTTTCCACGAAAGGAACTTTATAGAAGACTGGCACGTTTGCCGTGTAAACAGCCTACGATCGCTGGACGATTTTCGTTTTTCACGAATGGCTTTTTGGTATTTTCGTAGCTCAAGAAAGTGTGAGACACTAGCGTGCTTCGCTACCCGTGTCAGCCTGGCTTAATGCTACTTTTTAGAGTAATGATATATAAAACAACCCCAGAGTTCCCAACTGGCAAAGGAGTACGACAGGGAGACGCGATATCCCCAGAGCTGTTTACAGCAATATTAGAAGAAATCTTCCGTCAACTGGACTAAACCAACAAAGGATTAAAAATAGATGGAGAATATCTTAACCATCAAAGATTCGCTGATGACATAGTCCTAATTACCAATAGTCTTGAAGAACTACAAGCACAAATTAATGAACTAAATTCAGCCAGAAATAAAGCGGGTCTCAAAATGAATTTAGCAAAAACTAAAGTAATGTACAACGCACTAGTGGAAAGAAAATACATTCTAATAAATAACACAACACAGGAAATAGTAGAATAATATACATATTTGGGACAACTAATACACAGCTCGGGATATCTACTACCAGAAATCAACAGAAGAATTAAGTTACCATGGAGTACTTATGGAAGAAACTCAATCATGTTCAAATCTAGAATGCCACTGTCTAAAGAAGAAAACATTCGACCAATCTGTACTGCCAGTCATGACCTATGTATGCGAAACCTGGACATTTAAACTGACAAACGGGCAATACTGTCATCCACAGGGTCAAATCCCTAAAATTGCTATGGGCAGGACACATGGCAAGAAAAACAGACAACAGATGGACCACAAAAATTATAGATAGCATGGTACCCACAGGGAATTAAGAAACCCAGAGCAAGACCGAACCTGAGATGGGACCATGGTATTAGGAAATTAGCAAGGATAACTTGGGTCCGCATAGCCATCAATAGTCAACAATACAACTACAAAGAGAGTATATGAGGGAAGCTACACCATAATGATTGGAAATGCTTGAATAAGTTGAAAATGATGATGATGAATGCTACTTTTTACAGTCCACCAAACCAAACCAAACTAATAATCGTGAAAAGAATAAAACCATCAAAACTTACATACATTGTGTCAATTTTAAAACTTCCCACCCTTAATAGATTTCTTGCAGTTAAAATTATGAAAAATCGGAAAGATACGTCAATTTTATTTGTGACGGGGACACTTTAAATTAATATTTTTAGCCCTTTTCTTTCAACCCCCTAGGAGTGATAGATGTCACCTTTAAAATCTTAAATGGGAATGGGTGTCAAGTGGCACATCGTTTTAAAGGGCGTTTAATTCTCTTTTTAGTGGTATCCTTCTTTGTTGCTTTTTGTCCAGAGGTTTCCGAATAATCCTCTGTTTCAAACCTGCAGAAACAATTAAATATGTCTGCATTGAGATTTTGGTTTTCAGGCTAGTTAAATGATTGAAATGGATCTCCTTGTAGTACAAATAATGATTAGAATATTAGGTTACATCACTTACGCCCTATCTTATAAGTTGTTTAAAATGTTGTCTGGACGCCGTTTTTTTTTTCGATCATACGGTATAAAGAAGCGTTCCCTTTAAAAACATGCAAAATTATTGTTTGTTGAGAGTACAAGGAGTCCAAAAAATATTTGAACACGGGCCCGCGACTTCTTCGCTACGTCACTGAATCCAAAGATTGTTCTTACTTAATTTAAGGAAAATCTTTTTTTGATTTTTCTCGGTTGTAACTCCTGGAAAATTTCTTCAAGTGTCTTAGATCGTTTGAAGATTCCCATTCCATGCTGTGTTCCATATTCTTAAGTTCTGCTTTAAGTTGGATTCTATTTGGGAAGCAGAACCGATCTCTTAGCGGAGTGTTCGCTCCTAGAGCATTTGCTTTAGCATTACCTTTTATCCATTGGTGGGCTAGCACCCAGAGTAAGAGGACTATATTCTTTGCTTAACCTGTTCAGCTTCTCTAGGTATTCCTTGGTCAACATTGAATTGATGGTTACACAGTTGGTCGCTTTTCATGCTGCTTGACAATCGGATAAGATGGCTATTTCTTCTTTCCGCTAGTTCCTATCCTCGTTCCTATCTAAGATAAGTATCATTGGGTGTAAATAAACTACTTATTTGTGCTGTAAAATAAGTGAGATATAGGTAATCCAAAATCAACGAAATATTTTGGTCCTTCGAGCCCTCAAGCGCGTCCCTTTCGTCTTCCCCCGTTCCCGCTTCGCCCTTTTGCGCTGCGTGCGATCCGCGCTCGTCGCGACTCGCAACCGGCTCCCAAACTTCTCTAAAATCGCGGCGCCCGCTTCAGTCGCATCTCCACTACCGCACGGAGAACGTACGAACGTAACGCCGCCAAACGTAACGACACTATCGATATATTTTACGCGCGCGACATTTCTTCCGAAAATTTTTCTCGATCCGAATTTTTTTACAATTTTTTTACCTTAAAAAAATGAGCAAGTCGAACCGGTTCCTCCTAATCTAGTCGCGCGTACCGTCCCCATGGTTTCGGGCCCTTTAACCGGCCACCCTCAGGGGTGCAAGGAACCACCACCTCTACGCCGGTGGTTCGCCTGTTTGTCGCAAATCTGTCTGGCTGTGTGTGTGTTATGTATGTGCGCGTTGTCCTACAACCTTTTGGAGCAGAGCAGTGTGTTACGTATGAAAGTGGAGAAGTTGGAGACGCGGGTTGCAGTACTGGAGGAGAAAGTTGGACCGGACGCTGATGTCTATTTGGAGAAAGTGAGGAGGGTGACTGTGGAAAATTTGAGGGGCAGGGTGGTGCGGGACCTGGCTGCCAGGGTTAGGAGGGAGACGCCGGAGTGTTTATGTCCAGCAGGTGAGTCCAGTTTGTTTTGGTGATGTTGGAGTCCATCCAGATGTAGGCTTTAGGCTGGTTATAGGAAGAAATTTTCGACTCAAATGTGAAATTATTGGTGCGGAATAAAAATATCTTAATATTTTTCAAAATATTATTTTCACATCATTCACTATTAGATATCATCAACAACATTTTTTGTGCTTATTATAGTAGCTAAAATATATCTACTATCCAGAACTTCGGTTGAGTATGTACTTTTTTTGCATAGATTGCAACTATTCTGCTTTTAGGTAATTTTTTTTGTAAATGATCCAAAATAGAAGGACATTTTGGTACAGAAAGGAAATATGGATTTTAACCAATTAATTCTTCTGTTTTTCTGTCACATTATCTAATGACAGTTTTACTTCTTATAGTAACTAAAGTGTATCTAGAATTTTTGTGGAGGTCATAACTATTTTGCAAAACACTAATATTTTGTCTGCAGAATCTGGAATATTTATTTTCTGTAGTTAAGATGATATTATACAGGGTGGCCCATAGAAAACGTTCCGCAAGGCATAACGGGCAGGGTAGTTTTTTTTTCAGAAAATCCAAAAACACGTCAATTTTGTTTGTCAGGGGGACAACACTTTTGATTGCAAAATCTTCAATCCTCTAAGCGGGGGTGTCATCCCCCAACTTTTTTTAAACGGAAAGGGGGGTCAAGTGGCGCCGCAATGAAAAGAGCTTTCTATTCTCTATATTTCCCCGCTTCGTGTTTGAAAATCGGTAGAGTCATTGAGAAAATATAAAGGATTGAAATTTGAAAAGTTTATTTAAACATTTATCAGAGTAAATGATAAGGATAAATTTCTTCGACCAATTTGCTGTTTTTTCTTATTATTTCTAGATGTTTACGCATTTTTTCACTTGCCACAAGGTTGAACGATCAGGTGCGGTAGTTGCTAGATAGCTGTTCTGTGACTTGTGCGTTCAAGTTCTTCTCAATATCGTTAAACTTTTTAACAATTATGGTTTACTCACTTGCAGAAAAAGTGGAAATAATCGAACTTTACTTTAAAAATAATGAATGTGTCAATCGGTTTGCGTAGATATTCAATGAACGCCATCCTGACAAACACCTTCATGGCAAAATTGTTCGCGAGTTAGTATCAAAATTTCGCGAAACTGGTTCCGTTATGAATAAAAAGAGGCAGAGGGAAAATCCTGTAGTAAATGAAATTATGGAGGTATTCGTATTGGGCCAAGTTGCCATGGATAGTACGCTGAGTACCTACAAGAAAATTAGCCAATGAGACCGGCGTGAATCGTACAAGTGCCACCCGTACAAAATTCAGTTGGTATAAGAACTCAACGAAGACGATTTTAATCGTCGCGGGCTGGTATTTTTGGAAATTCTATTGTAGGTCAGTTTAACGATATTGAGACCGCACCTGATCGTTCAACCTTGTGGCAAGTGAAAAAATGCGTAAACATCTAGAAATAATAAGAAAACACAGCAAATTGGTCGAAGGAATTTATCCTTATCATTTACTCTGATAAATGTTTAAATAAACTTTTCAAATTTCAATCCTTCATATTTTCTCAATGACTTGACCAATTTTCAAAAACGAAGCCGGGAAATATAGAGAATAGAAAGCTCTTTTCATTTGAAAAAAGTTGGGGGATGACACCCCCGCTTAGAGGGTTGAAGACTTTGCAATCAAAAATTGTCCCCCTCACAAACAAAATTGACATGTTTTTGGATTTTTTGAACAAAAAATATCCTGGCCGTTATGCCTTGCGGAACGTTTTCGATGGGCCACCCTGTATAGTTTGTTGTCAACCGAGAATGCAACTTAGAAACACATGTTGGTGTTGAACGGTGATATGAACTTTAACTAATGGTAAATTCTTCTGTTTTTCTGTCATATTATCCAATGCCATTTTTACTAAATAGAATAACTAAAGCATATTATCTTTTGGGTTTTCGTCATGGTTAGTCCAAAAATATTTTGAAGACATTGGTACATTTTCTGCAGAATCGGAATCGTTTCTGTTCTGTAGGTTATGATATTTTGGTGTGAATGGTGCTAGAAAGACATGTTGGTGCAGAATGGAAATATGAACTTGAATAATAGTACATTCTCCTGTTTTTCTGTCATATTATCCAATGACATTTTTGATTATCAGAGTAACCAAAACCAATCTAGAACTTTGGTTAGTCCACAAATAGTATATTGAATAGCATTGAATCATTTTCTGCAGAATCAGGAATATTTCTGTAAAAAACAAGCCACCTTTTTTGGGTAAAACAAACAACATTATTAGAAAACAATAAAACATAAAAGTGTAAACATAAACACAAAAACACTATACAGGGTGAGTCTTAAATAAGTGCAAATATTTTTAGGGCTGGTAGATCTCGATAAAAGAAACATATTTTTTTACCGTTTTTCAAATAAGTCCAACATATCCGAGATATTTTACATACTTTAAAAATTAAAAAAAAACTTGTTTGCTTAAATTTTGAGAACCACTGGATATTTTCTGAGTTTTCTTTCTTGTAAATTTAATCTATTACCTACGCTGTCATATTATTAAGGAATTATAGGTTTTAACTAAAATTGGTCAAGTGCGAGTCGGACTCGCGCACGAAGGGTTCCGTACCATTCATTTTCTATACAACATTAGACACTATATTATTATAAACTCTTTTTCCGATTTAGCTGAAATTTTGAATGCGCTTATAAGAAATTTAAAAAAAATGGAGAAACACATTACTAAAAATTGTATTAATCAATAATAAATATGTAAAAAGTAAAAATAAATATGTAAAAATTAAAAAAAAAAAACGATTAAAAAAAGTCGTCTGGACTAGGATTCGAACCTGCCTTACTACGGCTCCAACGTCATAGCAGCGTATAGTGAGTCCTAACGCTTTAACCACGAGGACTTGAAAGATTCTATGTAAAATTCTTACTTAAAAGATAATGTTTAGTGAAAGTACTTTTTTATTTATAAACATTTATTTAATTCTGTTTTTAGTATTTGTTCTTATAGCGGCAACATAGATACATTATCTGTAAAAATTTCAACTGTCTAGCTATAACGGTTTATAAGATAGACCTTTGTGACAGACGGACGGACGGACGGACAGCGAAGCCTTAGTAATATGGTTTCCATTTTTACCCTTTGGGTACGGAACCCTAAAAAACTAAAAAAAATCCATATTTAAAAAAAATTGTGATCATATCGTGATTCTGGGATTCAAATATACTACCCCTAAAAATATTTGCACTTATTTAATACTCACCCTGTATAATATAGTAGGTATTTTAAGTGCAATTTAGCTAGTAACAATCTTTATATACTTTTTAATAATTTTTGCTATATCTCTCGACCTTTTATAATAACATTAATGTCCCCCACCAAAAAACCTTTTGAAGTTTCACCAGTTTCTTCCAAAACTTCCTGGTTTCACCAGTTTCTTCCAAACGATACTTCCGAAGTAAGAAAGACTTATTTCTCAAAGTTAAACATTAATCCTTAGGGCAAAATAAAAAATAACTCGTTATTTACTTATTATTTTTTCATCCCTAATGTAATTAACGAAGAAGAAAGCGAAACAAGGGCGGAATCATGATTTACGTCACGATATTAAAGTCCGGCAACGGTTTTAATTTTAGTATCGCCGCCAAGTCCGTGATTTACGAACAAAAATTGAATTATCTTCCTACAGTTTCGCGCAAAAAATAGCAACGAAGCGTTAATTAGTTATGAATACAGATAAATTAGGTTTTTATTCGATTATTGCTAATTTTTGTTTGTGTGTTTTTCGTTTGTTAATTTGCTTAAACAACAAATAATCATGTTTGGTCGTATTGATTAGCTTTATAGGTAGACGGCTTATTCACTGGAGTATTTTGAACGTTTAATTTCGTTAATAGAAGTACTATAGTAATAATAATGATGTCAATTTGTCTCTGTTAAATGACATATGTCTTTACGAACCTAACTTAAAGTATATCAAATAAAATCCATAAGTTCTAACGAAACAAGACATAGGCATGTCTTACATAGAAACTCTTCTAATAATATATATGTTACAGTGAAAGTCGGAAATTCAGTGATTGTTAACATTCACTAGGAAATGCTAACAATTACGCATTGGACCAGTGAATGTGGTATTTTAAAGAGATTTGTCAACATTTCCTAGTAACATTCACTATAGTGAAAGTAACATTTACTAAAGGTAAAAGCAGTAAAAGTTATTCTATTGTACAGGGTGAGTGTGGTGAGGAAGAATGTTGTTGGAAGTTAGAACAAATAAAACTTTTAAGAATATTGGATCACCTCAAGCTGATCCACATATCTCAAAATTACAATTTACTTCTTTATTAGTTTATTTATTAAAAATTATAGAAAATAACGACATTACCTTCTAAAAATATCAAAAGAGAAAACATAGTGAACATTTTGAAGTGTACGAAACAATTAAAAAAAACATTCATAAATATTTTAAGATTACTTATTGATACAAGGTGTTTTTTAATAAAGTTCTTCATCGTGGACAAAATAAAGTATGCCCGAATTTTCATTAACGGGAGTTATTTGTTTTTTCACACCCGCTTTTAAGCATATCAAAACGTTTAATAAGTTTATAGTCACTAGGTTCCTTAATATATTTTTCTCTTGCATGCTTAACTTTTCCTACGATTTCATTATATTGCAAAAAAATGAAAAACAAGCACTATTACATTCTTGCGAGTGCCTAGTTCAGGGGCGCCGACTTTTATGAAAGCTCGTGGGTGCTCATCAAATATGAGTAAATGTAACAAATTTCCAGATTGTTACATTTGCTGTATTTATTACACGTTTTTACATATCGTCCTATTGCTGCCAAAAGTCACTAACTAACATTTTACCGAACAACCAAATTCAATCACTAACTATGTTTTGAATCGGAGAATCGATTGCAAAAGTCATTAACTACGATTTCTGGCTATTTATGTTTTATTTTAATACCGAATAGT